GTTACATTGCCAGGGGACGAACGAAAAATAACTTGGTCCTCACTTGGTGGAAAGCGAGGGCAAGGGAGGGGCTGCCAGTCCCTTGTGCCACCAGGAGGGAAAGAATACCAGGCTGCTGGAACCGTCTGTGAGAGCGGAAAGAAGTGCGGTTTTTGTGACAAGGTCAGTTTTGACTCAACCATCTTCCCCGACTGCTTAACTAAGGTGAAGGCATGGTTTGCTTGAGGGAAGGGGGAAGACAACCTAAGGAACGTCAAAGGCAAGGGAATCTTAGGCTTGTGGGAAGGGGCGATGTGTTGACCCCAATGGGGATTGTACTCGGGTCTTTCGTCCTGTGTGGTCTTGTGCAGATGAGTGGGCCGGGGCGATCTGATCGGGATTGGATCCGCAGACGAGGGCGAGGGTGGGAAATTGGTTAAGGGAAGGACTTAGACTTCGCATGAACTAAGAATGTGGGATGGGTTTGACGGTCGGATGCTTGGATGAATGGCAGGTGCCCGGGTGTGGCTCGCATGATGATTGAACGCAATGGCTCTCTTGAATGCAGTGTATGCCCGAAAGGACTAAGGGCAGTCTCAGATAGGTGGATGCAATGCTAGCGGCTCAAGCAAAAAATATATATATAGCGGCTAGGGGTCCGGGCGAAGCCACCCCACCCCAAGGATGCCGCAAGGGCTGGCTTGAGTCACCAGACTTGGTGAAAAAGTGCGTGGCCCAATGGATGACGCTTGGCCTACGCATGATAAGAAGATAAGTCTTCAATAAACTTCCCGGACTGCTTGTGTATTGGAAGGAGCAATTGCCTAGTCAGACTTAACTGAATGAAGAAAACGCCACGAGTGCCAAAGAGCTACCATCTTGATGCGAGAGTGGAGCCACAACCCCCAATGTAAAGCCCTCTCGCAAAAGACCCATCCCCATCCATCTCAAAGCACTAGGTGGGGATGCCCCTGGGACGAACGACCTGCGCCCTGAGCCTGAGCGCGGGTGGGTCGAGCCAAATGGGACCCGCAGCAGGGTCGACTCAGGCTCGAAAGTCCTTCAGGGTACGGCCCCTACAAAAATGGTGGAGGTGTCGGGTATGGGTTAAACTGACCCTGACGATCTCGAGGGGGGCGCCCGACGCATGATCGTGTACACAACTGAAGAAAAGGAATATGGACTTGTATATGCTCTATCCCTTTGAGTGAAGCAGATTTGAGGGTTGCTGGGCGCATGGCAAGGCTAGGCCTGGAGGTTTAACATGCGTGCTACACACACAATCAGCCATCTCCCTTGGAGGTGACTCTAGTCCTCCTTCCTTCGGGCTGATGTTCGTCAGACCGGGGAAGCCTTGGGCAAGCCGCAGGTCGACTCTTCCTCTTCGTGCGAAAGAAGGGCTTCGGTTACCTGGCAGGTGGTTGGGATTCAAGGCTAGTCCGGGTTCCAATGAAAATGTCGTGGCGGAACGATCCGACTGACCTGGGTGCCTTCTCCTCTCTTCTTCGGAGCCCAGCGGGCTCTGTGCACTACACTTAATGCTTGAAGGAACCTCATATGAACAAAAGGTAATCGAGAAGGAACAATCCTGCCCTATGAACAGACACATGAAGTGAAGATAAAGGGAATGAAGGGAGTTGCTAGACTCCAAGAAAAAACTAGCTCACCTTTGAAGACGCTCACGAAAAGGAACCAAACACTATATATGGAACTTAGGGGTGAGTGGCGCCACTGTCCTGAAAGAAACGTTGTGAGGTATGGGTAGGAAGCGCTGGGTGCACCACGGGAAAGGCACTTGTTTTATGTGTGTCTCACTCGGGACTTGTGATTGCATGTTGGGATTTCGAGCGTCCTGCCATTTGAAAGGAAATGAGGGGTCTGCACCAACCACTGCGGGTTGTCAAACATCGTTCTCTTTGCAGACTGCCGTTTGTTCGTATGCAAGGGTCGGGCCACCGAGCTGTCTAACGGGAGTTTGTCACGTCGAGTGCTTATTAACATTCTCGTCCGCGCGGTGACGGGCTTCGGCTCGATTGATCTGTCGGGCGGAGTGTGAAACGTTCCTCAGGCGGGGCTTAGCCTGTGGACTGTCGGAGGGAGCACCACTACATGGGGGCAAAGACGGAGCCTGGGAAGCGATCAGTAGCTTCTCGTAGCCTGGTTTGGGAAAGGGTGTTTCTTATCGGACCGATGGAAGTGAATGCCTGGACAGCTGGCTCCAATGACCCTACCGAGATGTGCGGGGTGATTCCCGAGATTAACGGTGGGTACACGAGCGGCAAGTCGGGATGGGGTATTTTGGGCAAGAAGGTGAGGGCGAACCCCCACTGGAGTCTGGGTACCGCGCTCGCGACAGTTGAGTTGTGCTTGAGGTATGGGATAAAACTTTGCCGATAGTAACAGTGGAGAGACCACTTTGGGAAAAGGGTCGGTGAGGAGATGACCGACCTGCGTGCGACGTTTGCCTGAATTTTGCTTTTTGTGCCTCCCTCTGTAAAGTTGCCTGATGAATGTTGGATGGGGACTGAGCTTCTAAGTCTATTCTCACCTCCAAATCTAAGTCCATACAAGTGAGAGAACATGATGATAAAGGCTGGATATGAGTCGGAAGGAAATGAAACCAAGAAAAAAGAATGCCGGTTGAGGATGATTGATTGAGGGTATGGCTGGGCAACGATCTCTGGGGAATGGGTAGGAAATGTTAGGGAGAACCGGATGAGGGGTCTGAAAATAATTCTCATCTAGGAGGAAGGCAATCTGACCGTGAGGGGGCGTGTGGTGCTCTCATGTGGAACACGATAGGCGCCGGAAAAACAAGATGGCGCGATGGTTGTCGCCCCCTGTCTACTCTAGCGGTCCGGAAATGCCCATAGATGTAAGGGAAGGGGTATCTGTCGTCCTCCCAGAGGAAGGAACGTGGATGGACCTAGAGCCAACTTATGAAACCGTGATGCTGAACGAGAAGGACGCGTTCCTCTGGATAGAGACAATCTGGACTAAGGTCAGCCTGACGAGACTCTCGCCAAGTCTGATGGACTAAGAGTTCCGAGGAACAGTGGAAGCTCGAGGATGGGTCTATCTATCTCCGGAAATGGAAAATGCAATGGTAGTGGGATTAGTATTGGGCACGACACCAAATCAGCTGTTTAGGCAAGCAGAACGGGAGGTGGTAAGGGCGGCGTGTCAGCGGGCGGAAATGGAGATGGAAAAGATGGAGGTGCGAGTGGAACTCGGAGACCGGAAAAATATGAGACGCCCCCTTAGGACGATGAGATGCGTGCCACCCCCGTTTCTGGTGGATGCAGTCTTTGAGACCAGGGATAGATTGGAACGGATATGTCGGACGATGACACGCCTGAGGCTGTACCAATGTGCTAGACAGGACTTCTATAGACTGTCGGTGGAAGAGGGGCCGTTTAAAGGAAACTGGGCAGAAGAATTAACTGAGGTATTGAACCTCCTCAGCGCGGACAAAATCTTTGTTCCCAGTCCGGTGCATTGGCAGATAGTTTACCGGAATGTGGCGGCGGGGGAGACCTTAGAGGGGGTGAAGGACCTGTTCTCATACGAAGAAGGGGATTTCAGTGATGACGAGGAAGGAGGTGAGATAGAGGATTCGGACTTCTGAAGGGGGGAAGGGGCTTACCCGGGAATGGGTTGTCGACTATGTGCAGGTGGGGAGCGATGGCCCGAGAACTCGAGCTATGAGACTGCACGTGGGAACCAAAACGAATCGGAAGGGGAGTAGAGATGTCTATACCGGCGAGTAATGAATGAAAGGGGACCACATGTGACTGGCGGGGATATGAGATTGTGTCGGAACTATCGTACCTATGGATAGAACGTGTCTGGAAACCGTTGAGGGAAGAGGAAGGATGGGAAGAGATTGTGGAAGGAAGGGTGGAATCGGGACGGACGTTCTCTCTGAACAAGGTTGGCATTTGTTCTGCACAACGCTCGCGGTAGGGCAGAACCCGATGTGGCTTCTGGAGGATGCTGAGACAAGGACTCGAAAGGCAGGTGAAAGGTTCGCCAACAAGGGATGGGATGAGGTCAATAGTAGGGTTATGATGGCAGGATGGAAGAAATTTAACCCGCCCTGCGCCCGAACCAAGACCTGGTTGTCGGACTTCATGGCAGACTGGTTCGGGGGTTTTGATCACATTGCGGAAGTAGCTAGCACTATGGAACGGATACACGTGGACTGCGCATGGCTGGCGGAGGAATTTTATAGAACGTCCTTGAAATTCGGACCCTTCCACGACGATAGAGCCCGGGAGGTCCTTATCATTTTGGACATTGAAAGGAATGACCGACAGGAGGTGGCCCCGCAAAATTAGGGAGACCATAATCCGCCGTGAGGTAGCAGCGACACCTTCCTATGTGGATGATGTGTTCAAACTGTTCGAGGTACTATGGTTCGACTAAGCGCAGGAAAGCTGTGGGGCCAGACAAATATGGGAAAAATTGCTAAGAAAAGGGAATGGGATGTCTGGTCATTGTAGGGTTCAGTGCGGATCATGAGCCAGGAGATCAAATGCGAGTGCGCGATGGCGCGAAGAAGGACGTTTCTTGAGGAACGCCCCTTGGGCATTGAACCACCTAGAGGTTAGCTTGCTGGCGGCGAGTGGAGGTTGGCACCAGGTGGCGGATTGGGTCGGGGTCGAACTTGCGGAAAACATGGTTTACTTGGTGACGAAAGTTGAGTGGCGTGCGGATGAGAATGGGGAGTGGAACCCGGACCCGCGAGGGCATGTGCGTGCAGAGGGACGGTTGTATGTGTCTGAAAATGGGTGGAGGGAGTTCGAAGTCCGAATGGCATCTGGAGGAAACCCGTTGAGCATGTTTGAAGGGGCGTGGCAGTTAGTGTGGCGAGCAGGATTTGAGTTCGCAGATCCGGGGGTTGACGATGTAACAGCGGATCTTAGGGTAGCCACGGTCGGGAGTTTTGAATTGCCTAGTGAAAATGTACCAATGAGGCTGCCGCCCTTCCTGCTGGAAAGGTTGGGCGGTCTGTAACTTGTTAGAGAAGCAGTAGCCGACCTCGCAAGCCTGAAATATGAAGATGCGATGGTACATCGAGAATACTATCGGGCCTTCCTAGAAATGGGCCCGTTTAGCGGAGAGCAGAAGTATGAGGTGTTGCGCATCCTGCGTGCTGTGTTTAGCACCGGGCCGAGGGCTCCGGTCGTGGGAAGTGAGGTCCTGTGGGGTGTCGTCCGACGAGAAATAAGTCAAGGGATGGTGTACATGGATGATGTGTACCGATTGTATGAGCCGATGGAAGTAGGGACGGGCCAATAAAAGAGGTTAAGGGAAGAAAAGGAAGGTTCAAGCTAGAGACCGGGGAGTGTTCGGGCGGGAGCTGAAGACTAAATGAAATAAGTAAGCCCGCTTGCTGTTTAAATTGTGCAGGGGACTACTAAGTCAAAAATGGCGATGAGACGCGCCCGGATGTTGCGACGGCCCACGCACCCGTGGCCACCCATGGAATGTGGAGGTGGATGGGAGGTATCGCTCCCGGCAAGCTACATGACCCAAGGACTTGACACCAAATGGAGAGCCATGACCTTGGGAAGGGGTCAAGCATTCATGATGGTGGAATGTTTGTGGGATGGTATGAGGATTAACAGGGGACCGGGAGACGATCTGTACACTGACCTTAGGGTGACAGGGACCGTATACCTACCGGAACTTGGATGGTACATGCTAAGAACGGAATTGGCACTAGGGTACGGGTTGCTACCAATCTTCCAGAGGGCTTCTAGGATGTTGAACATGGTGGGCCAGGAAGTGCGGGGGAGAAGAATCGCGGGACTAAGAACCCGGGTGGAGGTCGAAGGCTGACGAGAGTTTAAGGCCCCAATGACTGGGTTGAGGTGTCGAGTACCTCGTTTCATGGTGGACCTGGTACACAGCAGCCTCAAGAGAACCAGGGACCTGGTGGATTCAACCCTGGTCTGGATCCACCACTTCCGACCACAAACGACGGGAATGTTTTATGACGTGTCAGTCAAGCATGGGCCGTTCTGGGGAAATCAGGCCTGGGAATTGCTGGACCTCATTGAAATCCTGATATTCGATCTGCCTCGCTTAGCTTTTGAGGAATTTGAACCAATAATCGTTAGGGAAATAGGGATGGGAGAAAACTACCTTGCTGGAGTGGCTGACTTGTTCGAGGAACCGGATGAGCACGGCAGGCGTGAGGGACCAGCATGAGAAAACACGTCACGGGAAGATAGGGAAATAAAGGATGGGTACTAAGATGAATAGGCAGCCATCAATGAATAGAGGGGACAATGGTTGGAGTTCCGACCGACCTGGCAATGCGGCAGGAAGGGGAACCAGGAAAACCACCTGCACCAGGAACTCTGGGGCATTTGGATGTCGGAAAGCCAAAAGGACCATCCTCGATAAGGAAGCCACTAGGCCCAGACATCGCCCTAAGAGCCAAAGCATGACAGTAATGAAATGTCAAATAACGGCGGCTAGTTCCCTGGCGGAAGAAAGCCAGAAGGACGCCCTGGAAAATAGAAGTTAAGGGAAGTCATACCGATTAATATAAGACGCAAAAAACATGGGAATAAGCGGATTTTAGGGCCGGGACTAGGGCAGTTATGAACAACCGGCCATTTTCGCAATTTTTTTTCCATGTGCAGGCTAGGTAAAGGAATGGCGACAGAGGAAGAGATCGATGGCCAGCAGAGCAGGGGGAGCCAGGGCACGAATGGGGACGGGGAACGAAACGAGGGATCAATGAAGGATCGAGAGTCGGCCAAACCGGAAGGAACCCGAGAAGATGGGAAGGACCTTTCAATAGGAGAAAGCTCCGGAAAGGCTGGGGGTACCAAAAGAGGACCTCAAGAAAACAGGGAAGGGGGAAACAATACGAAAACGAGCCCTCAGAACTCCGCGGGAGCCACCCCTAAAAAGACGAAAGTCTCGGATACCCGCTGTAAACTGGTAGAAATAGAAAAGCGGACTGCAGAATTTAAGGCAAGACTTATTGAGCAGATGATGGTTGGGGATGAGGAGGATCTCCAGGGCATGGGATCGCGGGAGGGACGCAGGACCAGTCAGGACGAGGTCAGGTATGAAGGGAAGGATAACAGTCATAGGGGAACACCTAGCAAAAAGGGGCAGGACAAGGACGACTCCCCGGCGGAAGGGACGGAAAAGGCTATGACCCCGCCTGCCATCCACAACGGCGCTAGCCGACTGCCCGCCACACCGAAAGTAGCAAAGGCGTGTGACGGACTCGGGAGTCTTAGGGAAAGGGTACTAGGTTGGTTTGATCCAGGGGGAATGACGAAAGCCGGGGAGAAATGCAGGGAAAGTAAGGAGGGAGAGGGGACTAGTGCGGTCGGGGAAGGGGGCAGCTCCGAAGGGGGTCTCAAGAGAATAGTCACCAGCCTCACCCGGGCACTAAACAAAAACCAGGGGTATCTCGCAGACGCAAAGAAGAAACTCACGTTCGACGGGGCAAACATTACGGAGTTTTTGATAAATTATGAGAATCTGGCAGCCTTACTGAAATGGACGGAAGAGGAAAAGATGGATCACCTGGGGCAGCACGTGTCCTGGAAAGAGACAAGGAACGAGATGATGAGAAAATACCTGAAGGGAGAGAAGATGGCAACAGAAGTTGAACTAGCAGCAGTCCAAAGGAAAAATTATGCGACTTACAACGATTTTCTGAGGGCGTTTACGCTAGTGGCTCTGCGAATCCCTGGGATAACGGACCATATAATGAGTAAATACTTCCTCAGACAGTTTTTCGAGTTTGACAAGGATAAGATTCTGTCAGCATACCAACAGACCAGCAAGTTCGAATACACGAGGGATGTAGATTTCAGTACGGTAACAGACCTTGCGGAAAAGACAGTGGTGACCGAAACGCTAGGCCTGCTTAAAGAAGGGGAAGTCATAGACCTGGCGGCAAAACAGGAGATAAGGTCAAAAAGGGCATAGAAAGCTTGCACGAGAAGGTACATGGGGTCGACAATAAGATAGAAAGAGTGGAAAACGAACTACTAGTGATGCAGGCACAGGTGTCCAGACCCGCCCTCCCGCCCCAAGAGGTCGTGGTCCCGACAGCCGTAGCAAACCGGGGTTTCCTTAGGAGAGATCCGACCAATGAACAGTGCAAGTATTGCACAATCGTCGGGCATTTCGTACAGACCTGCCCGAGACTCAACCACGACATTATGCGGCAAAGGTGCAGTAGGTCCCTCAAGGGCGAAATTCTTGGACCTCAGGGAGAGCGCATAAATTGGAACTCGCCAGGAGGGATGCGGCGTGTCGTCATCCTCCTGAACAATTTGAACATAGCTGCCGTAGAAGCAGAACCGGTAGCTGAGCTTGCCTGGGACCAACCAAGAGGGCGTGGGTCACAAGTCAATTTCATCCTGGAAGGCAATAAGCAGGACGGGGTGAATATTACTACCCGACGGGTTAGCGCAGAAAAGAAGCTCATCCGAGACACAGTAATGGAAGAAGCCGCAGGGACTAGTGCAGATCAGGAAGAAGCCGAGGCCAGGGAGCAGGAGAAGGCCTATGGAAAAGTAAGGGGAGAAGAGTCGGTAGATAAGGTCACGACGGCGAAGAAGAAATTTAGATACAAGATCCCGATCCTGGCTGGAGCGGAAGTCGATAGTTCCTTGAGTGAGCTCCTGGGCACCATGGTATCCGTGTCCTTCCAAACCATGTTGCAGGCAAGCCCGAGATTGCTTAAAGGGCTCAGGCACTTGCTAACGCGCAGGCGCGTAGTAGAAGAGGCCCCAGAACCCCAGGAACAGGAAGTCGAAGAGGCCGAGGTGCCGCAAGGGGTCTCTAACCTCCAAAGAATTCCGGGAGATCTGGAAGATCTGGATAACGTTTTTGCGGACATCCACCTGAGCATGCCAGATGGGGAAGGTGGCGAAGTCATGAAATCACCACCCGGGACAAAGCTTAGCTTCCACGCGTTACTCGTAGGAAAGCTGAAAGTTCAGATCGGAACCCACCACACGGACGCCTTGGTGGACGGTGGTGCGGAAATCACCCTCATACGACGAGATTTCACAACGATCACGGGTTGCACAGTAAACAAGGAAGTGACAGGGATCATCCGAGGAGCTGGCGGGGAAATTCCTTTCGCAGGGTATGTCACCAAGTGCGCGGTTAAGGCAGGAATTCGGGAATCGATCTGGTCGTTTTAGCGAATGACCGTAATGGAAGATATGGACCACGATATAATTCTCGGGAGACCGTGGTGTGCTAACGTGGAAATGATAGGCATGCACTTGGACGATTGCACCTATATGGTAGATATAGAGGACCCGGTGACTGGCCGTGGAGAACTCCTCCGACTCCTCGGAACTGGAGGGGATCCCCCGAAGGGTAAATTGGCTACCTGGTCACCCACGTTTGAGGAAAGCGCGCGAAAAGGGGCATCCGCACGACTGGAAGGAATGAAGGAAAGGGTGGAAATCATGATTGAAGAAACCTTTAGCAAAAAGGAGTGAGTCAAAATGGGTCTGCCTCTGAAGAAAAGGAGACAAGAAGACGAGGTCCTAGGGGTTATGGTGGCGGAGAAGGAGTCTGAAATCGAGCTAGGGGCCAGCTTGCCCAAGCCAAAGGAAGGACGGAAGAAAACATCGGAGTTAACACTCGAAATCTCGGACTTGCTACAACTTATCAAGGCTATTAGGTACCACAAAGTTAGGGTAGATCCGGTCGCGCTCGCAAAGTTCGAAGAGGAGGTCCAGAAAGGCTACTGCCTTAATGGGAAGGTGGTCAGTCTGTAACCCCGTGCTATGGAGATGACAAGGCCAACTCGGACCGTTCATTTTTTAGGAGAACGATCCCAGAAGGGAGTGTGCGGAAGTACAAACCCATAGGTAAGAAGGCCAAGCCGGTCTCGATCCTGGTAGAAACATCAAAGGAAGAGGTCATGGAAAAAGAAGAAGAGATCCTATGGGTTATAAGGGAGAGACGAGCAACGGAAGGGCATCGTATACCTGATGAGGTAGCGGATACTATGAAAATCGGAGTGGAGGGGTTCTTAACACCGGAACAAACGCAGTTGATAAGAAGGGCATGTCAGGAATTTCATCTAGCTTTCGCATTCAATGACTACCAGAAAGAGCGATTGGACGCAAAGTTAGTTCCCCCTGTTAGGATCCACACGGTGAAACATGAATGATGGAATGATAAAGGGTCTGCCTACGAGTTCGGGATAGCAGCAGAGGTCACCGACTTGCTTAGAGCCAAGATGAATTCGTTCGTGGCCGAGCCCACCTCATCCCCCTACGCGAACAAGTGGTTCGTTTTCCGGAAGCCCAACAAGACGCTCAGGTGGATTCAGGACTTGCAGAAGCAACTCAGAGATATGGCTTCCAGATACGAGTTCACTTTCAATTGGCTATGGCGTCTCAGCGCCCAAACAACTCACTGTTCACACACACCGGATCACGCTGGGTATCCCACACGCGTAACTCTGAACACTCACACATACACACGCACACTTCACACTAACTACAGCTATGACAGTTATGGTTGCCTCTACCCTATCGCTATGCTAACTCCTCCTCTCTCGCCCACTGCGTCCTCTGGGCTCACTGCACACCTCCTTGCACAAGTGGTACCGACAGAGGTACCGGCCTGGACTGGACTGTCCGAATAGAACACAGGCCTATGAGGACAGGCCCAGGGGCTGGTCTCACAGGCCAACCAGAGGTCTGCTACACCCAACCACGTTAACAACACCCGGGAACCAACTATTTACAAAAGTTTCATCGAAGTGTTAGCCCAACCACGTTAACAACACCCGGCAACCCAAAGTCTTCTTCTTGCTCCCTCCAGCCAAGCTCTAGCTATGGAGCGGCACGATGACCAACCTAACAGCCCATTAGTCGCCCCTAACCCTCTTGATCCTAACACGACACTTAGCAGTTCAATCATGATGCCCACTACAGATGAAGTGCCCGGTCAACAGGGGAGAGCAGCTCCCTCCAACACAATAAAGATGGATGGCTGCCACTTGAAGAACATTTAGACTCGACGATGAAGGGTTTTCTTTTTTTATCATCATCCAAATACACTCCCAACACTACACCTCCATCTTTTAACTTTCATTTTAAGGTCTCTGCAACAATCTGTATTTTCGCTGTTGATAATAAATTAGCCCGTTGTCCTACCATCTCTCTTAAAGGCTCTGCAAGGGTAGCAAAATGAAGAATGAAAATCCTTTAGAATCCACAGACACCTAAGAAGCTTCTGACGTTTGTCACTCGCTTGAGAGGCAGAGGTAAGTTTAAAATTTGATCTATTTTCTTGGGGTCGGGGCTCCTACCTTTGGAGAAACATTTAAAGCCCAAGATGGCTACGTCTGCTTGAAAAAGAAGGGACTTTGACTCACTGGTAGTCAGATTATATTTCTGTAGTCTCTACAAGACCGACTTTAACCCTTCATCATGCTCCCAAATAAACTTTCTGACTCCATGAGCAACCAAAGTCTCATCTCTCGCTAAGGGCCCTTTGACATGGTTATCATCAATATAAGGGCTGATTTTCTCGGGGGGAATATCCTGCATAACTTGGATTATATCCCTTTGAATCACTGCCATACCATCGGTCTAACCTTGAGGCACCAGGGACATATCAACTTTTTAAATTTTCACCATCTTGATCATATCCATATCCAACCGCCCTCTCTCTTCATCATTAAAGGAGAATCCGCCAGAGAATTTCTGACACAGTTTGCAGGTATATTCTTTCTCTTTAGACAGGATAAATTGATCTGAGTCTATCTTCATTGTGTCAAACCTTTCCCCAGTGATTTTATTCCCAGTTTTGTAGACTCCCTCAATGCTTTAATAATTCTTCTTTCTTTCTTCATTGCTTCATCACAATCCTTATCTGTCAAGGCCGTCACTAAGTTCTTTTTCACCCCCTTGGGCTTGTATTTATTTTTTGATCTAGTGACTATTTTCCTAAAAAATGATGAGTTGATACGAACTTTAATTCCATTTTTCCGCTCTTAGCAGTCTCAACAACTTTTTTTAATGCCTCGATCTGCCCATCTTCATCCTTAAGTTTGCCAATAGTTTTCATCATCTTTGAGATCTGATTGATATCCACTGAGATTTCCTCTTTGGAGAGATGGTTAACAAAAAACGTTATGTATATGTCACTTTCAACCGCTTTAGATTCCCACCCGAAATTTCTGAAATGACCTGAAGTGGCCGAAGCTTCTGAAAGGTATTTCAGGTACCCTCATCCAAATGCTTGGATGGGGTACCTGAAACCCCTTTCAGAGGCATCAGTCACTTCAGGTGATTTCTGTGGTTTCAGGTTCCTACCTCAAATTCCTAAAATGACTTGAAGTGGTTGAAACTTCTTAAAGGGGTTTCAGGTACTCCCATCCAAGCATTTGGATTGGGGTACCTGAAACCCTTTTAAGAAGCTTCAGCCAGTGCAGGTTATTACGGCGGTTTCAGGTCCCCACCTGAAATTCTTGAAATGACCTAAAGTGGTTGAAGCTTCTGAAAACGGTTTCAGGTCCCCCCATCCAAATGGTTGGATGGGGTACCTGAAACCCCTTTTAGAGACTTCAGCCACTTCAGGTCATTACTTCGGTTTTAGGTCCCCACATCAAATTTCTGAAATGACATGAAGTGGCTGAAGCTTCTGAAAGCAGGTTCAGATACCCCAATCCAACCATTTGGATGAGGGTACCTGACACCCTTCCATAAGCTTCAGCCACTTCAGGTCATTACGGCGGTTTCAAGTTCCCACCTTACGTTCCTAAAATGACCTGAAGTGGCTGAAACTCTTGAAAGGGGTTTTGTCCCCCCATCCAAATGGTTGGATAGGGGGACCTGAAACCTCTTTTTCAAAAGCTTCAGCCACTTCAGGTCATTTCAGGTGACACACAGCAACGTTAAAAAAAAAAAAAAAAAAAAAAAAAAACATAGAACTTGTCCTCCAAACCACCCGAAACTTATGAAATGACTTGAAGTGTCTTCAGACAATTTTAACGGTTTGAGAGCACGTCAGAATCTTTCATTCTGAAATTTCTGGTGGTCGTTAATCGCGAGTGTCTCTTTGACTTCTTGCTTGTTTTTTGTTTTTATTTCCTTGTCCTCTCAATAGATTCTTCCCTTCTAATTGAGTTGTGTTTATGATTGTGATTAGTATAGACCATAAGGGTCTGTTCCTGGGCAGTCTCTGAATCCTGTAGATCAATCTAAGATGACCCTTCATGACTGAAGAACTGGACAACTTCCATTCTATGCAAGAATGGAGTGCCCAAGATACAGTTATGGTCTAATTCCGACACCACAACCCTAGTAGCCCATCGTCCCAACTTTGATAGATAAATTTTCAGTTAGACCTGCCACAAAGAGTTTTCCGGCAATATTGCTTAATATATGTTTCGCAAATCTATCAATGGTAAAGTCACAAACCCTCATAATCTTTTGGGAAAGAAGAACAATTTTTGCCCCAGAGTCTACCAAGACTCGGATCTTCACTTGGTTAATATAAATAGTTAAGTGTCCGCAACCCATGGTTGCGAATCTCATCTTGCACCCAAGCGATGACTTGTTCACTTGACAAGGAAAACCCGATCCCAAGTAGTTAACCTCCATCTTTTGTTTTTCAATCAACTTTTTTAGTTATTCTCTCAACTTAGGCACTATAGTTATTGCTTCTTTGAAAGATAAAGTTACTTATGTTTCCTTTAGTATCTTTGTAATCACATCCGTGATTACATTTCCATCTTCCAACTCGCTCTTGAGAACAAACTTCCTCTTCTTCCTTTGTTCATTTTCTTTAAATGGAGGGTTTGATTCTTGATCATCAAGAATTTCATTTAGTATCTCTTCAGCCTTCCTTCCCTTCTTTTCCTCTATCATTTGAGGCGTTGAGAGTACTTGAAGATTTTTAATTTCTCCAATCACTACACTGGGCGCCATGAGGAGTTATGGTGGTAGAGCACCCTCAAAAGACATCCTGTTGACTGAAAAACAAGAAAATTCATTAAAAAAATATGCTACTAACTCAGGAAGGATCTGAGAAGTAGGGTTTTCTTGTAATGAAGACTTGCTACTAACTCAGGAAGGATCTCAGAAGTAGGGTTTTCTTCTAATTAAGACTTGCCTTGGGAAACCTCACCAGATATGTCTTACATTGATGTCAGGGATTGTAGAGGCAACTCAATCATGGTGAAAGGATCGTTATATTTTTGCACAAGTTCTTCAGACAGTTCACCAATAAGAAAGTGAACATTCATATTAGTCTACCTCCTG